GGAATGTAGAGTCTAATTTCATGTAGTTGGATAATTGCATTTATAATCAATGTCAATTTTGATCTTCTACAATTTTTGCTTGAATTTACTTAAATCTTTTCTCTTTTTTGGTAGGAGGAATTTAGTTGTAAAGGTTTTTTAATTTTGATAAAATATTATTATTTCTCTTTTTAATTTTGTAAAGGAATTCACTTGAACCCTTATTTTGGGCCCAGAAAAAAATAGTTTAGGATGAAGTCAAAAGAGAATTATTTAAAATAAGGTTTGATAATTTTATTTTTACTTTGTGAATTAATTAAAAATTACTATAGGTATAACTTTTGGATAATTATTGTAAAATTTAATAAGCATATGATACATGAAGATATTGGATGAATGCTTAAGCTTCTTTTTCTTTAAAATATTTTAAAGTTTAAAAAAAAAAAATGAAACTTTAAAAGACTTGATAAGACATGAGATAAAAATTTTGAACCGTAGAAAACTGGGAATATTCCAATTTAGGGTGAAATGTGAGCGGATGAGATTTTTAAATTCGTCAATGGGTTTTGTTTTATTAAAACACCAAGAGAAAATAAACGAGGATTTGAGAGTCTAAAATTGGAAAAAGAAAAGAAAAGCTCATTAAAAAACTTATTGTAAAAATAAAAAAGATTGCAGACTTAAATCTAACGAGTAAAATTTAGAGTAACAAGATAAAAATTAAGAATTTTGATTTTAGTAAAAAATTGTTAAAAAATCAAAATTCCTCATACATTATCATAGACACAAAAATTATAGAATCCAACTCTTAAGCTTATAAAGTGGGATGAAATTCACCGTCAACCAATGAATCAAGTGGTTCATGGATGAACCTCTATATTATCATTGTTGGATATGATAAATGATGTAAATTATCTTAATTATTTAAATGATATAATAATTAAAAAATTATATTAAAATTTAAAATGTCATTTTTGTTGGGTACCAGAGGGAAAATAAAAACTGCAACAGCGGAAGCACACACAACAAGAGAAACAAATTAAAGAAACAAACTCAAAAATTAACGTGGTTCGGCACTTCTTGCCTACATCCACAAACAAATTTTTACTAGCAATTTTTACAAGGACAAAATTGCAAAACCTCTCACACAAGTTTTCTGGAAAAACTTGGAAACCTTACACTTGCACACAACTACCCAAGTTCCCAATACACTCAAAGGAACCTATGTTGTTGTGGTGAGTAAACACAAACCCTCACCCTTTATTTATAGTAGTACTCTACCACTACCCTTCTTCAAACTACCCAATGTGGGACTTTGGAAGGTACCCACACACTTTGGCACAACACAAACTACTCAATGTGGGACTTTGGAGGATACCCACACACTTTGGGCACAACAATTTTTATCCTTTAGTATGAGCATTGAGCAGCACCAATCTCCTAACCTTTGCCATGCCTTTTTCTTTTTCTTCTGTGATACCTCTGTTGTCATCTTCCTCCTTCAACCTTTATCATTGTCATCTGACCTCTACCGTTCCTCTTCCTCCAACTTCTTCACGACCTTCGCACTACCTCCTCAGTCACATTCCTAATGCATCGCCTCCTCCTCCAACCTCTACATTTTCTTTGCACCACATTAATATTGTCTCCTCCTCTAACCTTTACACTTCCTTCACACCACATCGCCTCCTCCTTCCACTTCCACAATGCATCACCTTTGCATATTTGTGAATATCGAAGGGTTATTGGTCACTTGTCCACCAATTAACATGTTAAACATGTACATCATAACAATAGTCATAAAGTGTATGAACCATATTTTTAGAATCCACTTTAGGCTTTGAGGAGTGGGAGTAGCTAGTTCAATCTTCTTAAGTTGTCAACATATTTTAAGGAAGTCTACATAAAAAAACGTAGTCACTTGACCTAAATGATTCTTAAATTGCTAAAAATTGGATAGAGGTGTTCCTACACTTGTTAGGAGTGTTGAAGTTACATGACTTTTCATCATTCAATATTTTTGGTGCCACATCACATTCTCTTCATATTGGTTTGTGTTAGTGAAATTGTTGATTTCTTATATTGTGTTTGGATAAAAAAATTTAATAAAATGAGTTTTTTTTAAGCATTTCAAATGTTTTTGAAGTGAAATGTTTTATTTAGATAAGGAATTTAGAAAATAAAATAAAATTAAAATATAAAAAAAAATTCAAATTCAAATATTTGTAAAATTTATTTCTAATCTTTCATTTTGCATTTTTATCTCTTTCATATCTCATATTTTCTTTCCCCTCTCCCTTCCTCTTCTCTTTTTCTAATTTCTTTGTTTTGTTTTTTTTCCCTCATGTCCTTCTCTCTTTCAAAGTCAAAATAAAAAATATTAATATTTTTTAAATTATTAAATATTTAAAATATTTTTTTTAAGTATTAAACCAAGCTAATAATACAAGTCCCTTTATTTTGTATAGTTAAATCCAGCTATAGATAAATTAAATTTAAAATATTTATTTGTACTCAAAAATCAAAATCAAAACTCTACATTTATTAGATAAGAGTTTGAGCCAGCGACCAATTCGACCTATCTGACTATATCTAAATTATTATTTCCAGAAATATTGAAAATATTTTCAATAAATTTTAATTATTAACTAAACATGTTTTCTTAAAGATAAATGGTAGCATTGCTTATTAAAATAGTGGCATCCTTATGTAGTACTCCGTCAGCTTTATTCTGGTTGATGTTTTAACATTTTTTTTTCTCTGTTTTAATTTGATTGTGATTTTATAATATCAATATAATATTAAATATGTGTTTTTTACTATATTTTTAAATATTATTAATAATTTTTTTATTAATTTTCATATTAAAATTAAATCCTTAAACTTGTATAGAGAAAAAAGAAATATATTAGAAAAAAAGTGACATGGTAACTCAAAAAAAAAAAGAACAACCTTGAGTGAGTATGGAGCATAGCATTGACATTTGGCATTGGTGAACGAGAGGATGAGCATTTGTACGCGAGGAGTGCTTCTCATCAACGCTCGTATCTCTTCCAATTTCTCCTTCCGAGGTGCCCTTTAGTCGTCAGTCTCTTCTCTCTCTTCTTTCGAGACTTCAATCAAACAGTTAGTGGATCAATTCATTAACCAAATTTTTGACCCTTCAACGTTTTTTCTTCTTCTTTTAATTTAACGTTTTGTATGCCCACTTGAGTTTCATGGTCAATAGTGCTTCCTTTGATGGCATTTAGTTAGAAAAATGTTGACTTTCTGTGGTACTTTAGCTTCTGGTCAAATCCAAACCAAACTCAGTTCTACACGTTGAACCAATGACACTTGTGCTTCAGGCTTTCGCAGGTTGTCGGTTGTTCCACGTTTGCAACAGTGTGAAGGGGTGAGAAGGGGTTTCTCCAAAAGCATGGCTTGCAGTGTGGAAAATTGTGATATGGGTAGTGGGGTGGTTCATCCAGCCACAGATGCTTATGCTGGAGAGGCAGTTGAAGCTTTGAAAGCTGGGAAAGTCATTGCAGTGCCCACTGATACACTCTATGGCTTTGCTTGTGATGCTTGGTATCTTATTTCAATCTCTGCTTTAAACCTATTGCCTTTATATAGCCTATATCCTTAAAATGTTTCAACTTTCAAGCTTGACTTTTGTTTCTGGCCTCTAGATTCTTTTCATGTATGTTTTCTTAGGTAAATGAAACAAACAGTGGTTGTTGTGGTTTTAATATCTGGAATTTGAGTTTTCTAGGATTGAAAATTAAAATCCAAGCTTGGCATAATCAAGATAAGAGACAAATGGAGAAGTGAATATTGACAAATTAACAGATTTTTTCTTCTTGTTGTACCTTTGCCTTGGAAAAGATGAAAGTGTTATAGAGTAGCATTGAATGGGAATGAAGTTGTAACTTGTAAAGTTACCGCCATGATGTTTCAATGAATTTCAGTATTTGTATATAATTCTAGAGATTGCTTTGTCTCTCTTGCGCAGAGCATCGGCGTGGGTGCTTGCTGTTGGTCCTATTGGATTCAAATTGGATCATAAAACTGTTATAAGTCTACAACATTTCTGTTGTTTTAATGTGTAACCTAATATTAAGTTATTCACAACCTTTCCTGGCAAAATATCCAATAGTGTTGTATCAAAAAAGATTGATCTTCATGAAGGGAAGCAGATGAATAATTGCTTTATCCTATCTCCATTTCACACAGGTTTTGATAAGATATAATTTTTTCCTCATGGACATCAAATGTGAGAAAAGTTAGCTCACATTATGCCCATCCTTCTGAATGCCTGCAATATGTTTTATGCGTTCTAATCAAATATGTTTTAAATTTCATTTGCCCAATATGTCCACATATTTAGGCCAATATTATGTCTCTGTATTCTATTGCAATCTGAATGATTAATAATTACCCGTTACCTTCTATTGGGGCATGTTGGCAGTTCATTGGAAGCGGTTAACAGGATTTATGAGATTAAAGGCCGTAGACATACAAGCCCTCTGGCTATTTGTGTCGGTGACGTATCAGATATAGCCCGTTTTGCTGTCACTGACCATTTACCTCATGGTCTGCTTGATTCCCTCCTACCTGGGCCTGTTACAGTTGTACTAAAACGAGGTTTGTAAGTCATACGTTAGTATGTGCGTGCATTTGTGTAATGGAAAAGGAAATATATGGAAGTAATATATGCAGAATAATCTTCAACATATGTTTAGATCAATCAGTTCACAAAATTTATTTGGTGCGACAATGTAGTCCCATTTCTTCAATCCCTTTGACAACATATCTTCTGTGAACCTCAGATTTTGTTGTAAAGAACTAAAGATAGTATATATTGTCTGATAGTATGCTTGGATATTTTACAGGAGAGTCAAGTGTTCTTGAACGATCATTGAACCCAGGATTTGATAGTATAGGAGTTAGAGTACCTGATTGCAACTTCATCAGGATCATTGCCCGTGGTTCAGGAACTGCCCTAGCTCTAACCAGTGCAAACCTAAGTGGACAGCCAAGTAGTGTGACCATCAAAGATTTTGAGAACCTCTGGGAACACTGTGCTTTTGTTTATGATGGTGGTTTGCTTCCATCAAGTCGTGCAGGTTCAACAGTTGTGGACCTCACTGCACCGCACAAATACAGGATACTTAGACCTGGAAGGTAGCTGATCTAAACTCTTCTATCAGCATCGTTTAAAACATGGACTACGCTGCCAAGTGTTAGATGCAGATGCTAAAAAAGATTTCTGATAAGAAATCCTTTTCAATTTAATATAGGATGATATTGATTGTGTTCATGTTCACCTATCATTTGCAGTGCAAAGGACGAGACAGTTGCCATCTTGGAAAAGCATTCTTTCGTTGAGGAAGTGACCTCTTAAATAATTTGTGATTCATTTGCAGTGTCACGTTGTAGCTAGGCATAATGTTTCACTTGCAAAAAAAAAACAATTATTTCGCTTGGACATGTGAGAAGCTACCACCCAGGCTAATTATTTCCATTAACTGTTTATATGATCTTCCGTAGGATCTCTAGGATGCATGAAACAATGCGTTATAAATGTATGATCATTAAGCTTCAACTGAGTTATTCCATTCTACCTTTTTGAAAGAAAAGAATTTAAATCAATTAGTAGCATGGTGATACATTTATATAAAAACTTCTATACCAAGCACTTGCTATGGAATTGTAGGCAGTCAAGTGAAATCCATCCACATAACCATTTGACCTATGGATAGCATTATTAAAGGCTATAATGCCAAGGAATCATAGTTGACATAATTGAAAACTCAGAAATAGGTTGTGTTAACTCTAGATTTTGTATCACATGATTATAAGCTTATTGTGTTGTGTAATAATGATGTCAGATTTTAAGAAAAATGTTGAAAGGTAACAATGACGATTATCATAACTAATGAAAATGATAGCAGAAAGAAACTGAACAACTTTTTTGCTAATTCACTTGTGCGTTTGTTCTGACAGTTGATGCATTACGACCGTGGTAGATAGTGCATTGTGGGATTCCTTCTATATTTAACATCTTTGAAACACAAAGCAACCACTGGATATGGATGCTGAATCTTGTTATCTCGAGCATCACGAATTATGTTACGTGTTTGTTGTGGCATTGCTTTTACATTGGATTTCACGAGTATCATTATAAAAGTGTGTATTTCTGAATCTTCCTGGCAATTAAAGGAATACTAGGATAAGCATTTGAAAAGGTATATTTTTGAAGGGTTTTTTTAGAAGATTATTTTTAATCATTATAAACTTTTTAAAACGTTTTAAATTAAAAAAAAAATTGTTTCTTTTTTCTTAAACACAAACAAACTGGTCCTGAAAATTAATTTATCTTATTGAGAGCAAAGGGTGAAAAGTGAACCTGTAAATTTGTGTTTCTTGATCAGCTCCTTGAGTTTGGACTACTATAGCTTGTGTTTATATATATTCATGAGCTTGATTTTGGGGCATGCCCTTGCCCTTTGTCTACGCAAGATGGTTAATCTCGTGCCAACAATATCAACATAAACTCTACCCAAAATTATTTGGTTATTGACTTGATAACAAAATTTTGTTAATCAAGTAATAAGTAGTTTAATTCTTGTATTTTTTCCTCTTATAGATTACAAGTATTTTTTTAAGGAGACAATCTTATTTAAGTTGAATAAAATTATTTTAGATATAAAATTTTCTTTTATGCATACTAAAATATTTGAACTCAAAACTACTGATTAAATTAAAATAATATTGTATTAGTTAATTCGGGTACTCGAGGGTTATAGTTTGTGTTGTTTAAAGTGTGGACAAAAGTGAAATTGGATTAAAGAGATTTGTGATATTTATATTTGTTCATGGTCATCCTGAAGCAGAACTTTGATAAACAAAACGTCAAGAAATAAGCGCAAAGTTAGGGAGAAGAAATCATTCCTGCCTGGTGTAATTCGGTAACTTTTCCTTTTAGTCTTGCTAAATAAAATTTTCTTTTCTTTTCCAAGTCAAGGTATTTTTTATGTGAGATGATTTTATTCAAGTCAAATAAAATTATTAGAAATGACAAAACTATTTTCTAAGTATTTATAACAATTGTAAACTATTGAATTTTTTTTAAAAAAAATAAACTAAATCAAATAACTAGTTAAAAAGTCTAAAAAGAAAAACTAAGTTGATCCATCTCATAAAAAGAGATATGGTCTCCAGCAGAATAAAAAATGACAATGCATGTTACATTTGATTTGATGATTGGCCAAAGATCACTGTCTTCTCATAGTCATAGTTTTACTCTCAACACAATTTCCAAAAGGCAAAAGCAGAATATGGAATTCAATGTTTTAACACTGCTTCCCCAATTAATGCTGGGGTCCGTGAGAATCGCAACTCCGTTATGGATACATACCAACCAGAATGGATTTGCTCTGAATCTCCATTAATGACAATATAATAATATAAACAATACAGTATTTCCTAGAACCATGCAAGTTAGTGAATTCCATGTTAGATGTTTTAGCACTACGCATCGTGTCACCTTCAACACTGGTGTATGCATACCTGTATGATAGGGATTGAAAAAAGATGTTTCCCTTATTTAAGATTTCATCCTCTTATGCCATTTTTTTTTATATAAAATATATGTTCTGTAAAAGAACACATAAAATATAAGTTGTAAGTTTTGACAATTTCTAATTACTTATAGTGTTTAGTCTTTTTCTATTAGGTATTATTATTTACTTGAGTTTGAAACTATTAATTAAATTAAAATAATCTCATCTCAATTGATCATGTACTCAATAACAAAATATTATTATTTATCATCTCAATTCTTTTACTCTTTTTGAGTGATTCTCCTGATAAATAATCTATTTTAATTTTCTTGTTGAGAAAATATACCAGGTTTTACATTTTTTTTTTTGTAATTTGCAGATATTTCGATAGAATTAATAACTTGTAGTTTTTAACATATTGAAAATTTTAATAAGATTTTATTGTATACATACATGTGTATTCAACGTGTATCTAAACATATATTATATTCAATTTTTTAACATATGTGTTACCTTGAAGTTAGAAGTGTATTCAAACATTCACTATATTCATTTCTAGTCTTATATGTTAAAACATGTGACCCTAACTTACATGTTTGTTAGTTTGAGCATAGATTTACAAAGTAATAAGTAATAGTTATTCTTGTGCTTTTTTTTCCCGTAAATTTCTGACAAACACGGGAAAGGAGAGAGGAATGATTGAGAGATAAAAGAGATACACATATCCTTCACGCTTTTTGGCCTACAATTAGGGTACTAGCATCATTAACCTTTTCATACCCCACACTTCTTCATTGTTAAGTTTTGTTTTGGGAGAGGAAGGGGTTGTCTTTTTTCTGCTCCTCATAAGTCATATGTCATATGTGGCCTCCACCCAGTTCCCGTACGTGTTTCTTTACCAGTCCTTCAAACTCCAAACTACCGTTGTTGTGGAGGAACTTAGATTACTATCCAACTCAAAACAAACAAACAACATACGATGGGGAAAGTGAAATTTGCATTATGTATCGCCTACACCACTTCGATATTACTAATGCTGTAAATAAAATGTTAGAAACGTATATTATTTAATTTATAGATTAGTAATTTACGTTAAAATATTATAAATAAATTACCGTGCACAGTGATCGTACCTTTGATCTCTAAAAAAGTAGATTAATAATCACTGCCACATCGTATAAGTAATAGGATCACGAATCACGATCGCCTAAAGGCTACAGGCTACAGGCTACAGTGAGTAATAAAAATATTGACTTAAAAGTTATACTTATTAGGCTGCGTAAATTACGCATCGCGAATATTACGTTGTTAATGTTATTCTGTAGAAACCGATCGTGAACGTTAGTTAAGACTTCTCGTTGTGTAGAGTGTAGAGACAGTAGACAAACTCTGGAGTCTGGACTGAGGCAATGCAATTACAATTTCATTTCTCGCTATCCAAATTACCTAAATCACCCTCAATAAATTTAAAATATTAAATGAAAGTATTCTTTTTTATAATTAACAAATTTAGTTCCAGTCGACCTATTTAAAAACAAAGTATTACCTACATTGGAGGCTCTATACTCAAGTTCAAAATAAATGTTGTTTAAAAAAACATAAGCATTATGTTATATACTAACAAGTTTTTGCAATAATAATAATAATAATAATTGTTTACTTACAATGTACAATTAAACCTCTTTTTAAAAATTCTTTAAGATGTGCCCTTAAAGTAAAAATAAGTCAAACCCATCCCTATATAAGTTTAATCCATATATTTGTTTTAAAGCTTATTTAACTTAAAAACGTCAAACTTAAAGCGTGCATTGCTTAATATGTATAATTAATAATTAATTTCAACCAAATAATATGAAATTAAAAATTTTAAAATTACCATCATTCAATGTTTAGTTTGAAAATGTCATTGATGCACAAAATTTAGTATGAATTTTACATTTTACTTTTGTTTTAATATATATACACATTTTTTTTTGTATAATTATACAAAGTAATGATACATGACACTTCGATTATACTTTTTGTATACATATACTCCTACAAATTAATACATACACACATTCCTTGGAATTTTGATGTTTGGAACTTAATTAAATAATTAAGAAATCAAAAAGACTAAATACACATAAATTAAAGAGACTAAAAGCATAAATTCACATGTTTGTACGCAATACTCGTTTTTAATTTATTATCTACATTTTACACTATTATATTTCGAACCATTTTTTTTTTAAGGGAATCCAAGATTCATTTTGTTCTGATAGTCAGAGTAATTTCTTCACTAGTTTGAATCCTTCCATACAGGAAGTAATAGACCAAAATTGAATACACGAGTGGTTAAATTTTGACTACTAGGAACAAAACAAATTTGTAGTAGTTTGTAAAATGAAATTTAAATTGAAATCATTCAGAGATCATGAATAGATGAATATACTCTACAATCGAATACAAATTTAAAACAATACAAAAAAACTAGAATAGTATGATGAATCAATGGTGCCGAACCTACAGAAGTTCTCTCCTCGCCGCGTAACCGTACTGCGACCGTTGAATGTTCTGCCGGCGCTTCTTGTAAACCACTGCTCCCAACGCCACCACGCCGGCGCCAACGATCACTCCCACCGCTATCCCCGCTTTCTTGCCGGAACTCATTCCTCCGCCGGAGGAGGACGATTTACCGTCGCCGCCGTCCACGTTGGAGCGGTTAACTCCGTCACCTCCTGCATCCGCCGGAGTCGTATTCGGAGCCGGAGAAGGAGAAGGAGTGCTCCCCGGCGAAGGAGACGGCGGCGAATCGTGATGAGAAGGCGCCGGAGATGGAGATTCCGGTGGACCGGCTGGGGAAGGGTTCGATGCAGGAGTGACATCGTTAGAAGGCGACGGTGACGACGACGGAGTAGGAGAAAAAGACGGTGACAAATGCGGCGCCGGCGTCGGCGCCGGCGATTCGGCGGCGATGTTGACTAGCAAAGAAAAGAGGAGAAGAAGAGCGGAGAATGCGGCGGTTGCAGGATTGGCCATTGAATTTGGATTGAACAGTGTTGGATCTGAGATTGAAACGAGTGTGAGAAAGAGGAACTGTTTGAACGGAACGGAATGAAGCGGTGGATGGATCTGGAAAAGTGTGAGGACGCGAAATGATGAGTGCGGTTTATATAAGGGGTGAGGCTTTGGGATTCGTGCGGATCGGAGGGTGGTGATTGGGGGGAATGTGGATTGGAACGGCGATGGAGGACACGTGGCGAGTGTAAAGAACGGTGAGGCAGCGCGATGCACTGGAAAGTGAGGGTGTTTGTTTTACGTTTTTCACTGTTTGGGTGGAAGCTTCGCAGGGAAGTGACGTGAATGTGATACGGAATGCATTTGGACAAATTGAGGAGAAAAACGAGGGAGGTTGGAACTCTATGTCCAACTATTAATTACCCAAAGTCAAATGCTAACCATCACATAACACATTGCCTAAAATATTTTAATTCAAAACTTATAGTAATTGAAAATATGTTGTTAATGTCTTTTATTACTACTTTAATACATTTTCATATCAACTTTCCTTAACAAAAATCATATTTAATACTGTTGACAAATTTATAGAAGTGAATTACTTTATCGAATCAACTCATTTTTAGAAATAGAATAATGTTTCCGATTTTGATTTTATATTCAAAATATGAATCAAACTTAAATTTCTATTAAAAAAATCACTTACACTAATGGTTTTTAATTATAATTTTTTTTAAGTTAAGCTATACTCTTTTTTTTTTTATCTTTTATCTTGTTTTTTAATTCATCTTAATTTTTATTTATTAATATATTTTAATCATTTATCTTTTATATTTATATTAATTTGATATTTTTAAAATAATAACTATTTTTAATTTTGTGATACAATCATTGATTTAATTAATTCATGACGTAAAACTTTAACATTAAATTCACATATATAAAAATCATGAAATATAATCAATATGCGAATTAAAAGATGATAAATATAGTAAAAGTTGTATAAAAAATATAGTTCATAGACAACTAAAAATAATATAAAATTAAGTTATTCAATTTTATCATGTATATAATATTTTTGTTTAAACTTTAATTATATTTGATAATCTATCCAAGATAACTAAAATTAATCTAAATTTATAAGATAAAGTAAAAAAAATAAATTTTTAACAAATAAATGATTAAAATAAGTATAAAAAAAACGACAAAAATGTAATTTACTCAAACTTTTAATTATAAAACATTTTAGACATAAATAATGTTTGTATTTAGTACATTTTATTAAGTGTTTTAATCATTAAAAATATTCCTTAACCAACGTTCTAATTTTAATGTAAGTTTTAATAAATTAATTTACTTATACTTTCTTGATCAGGATTTTATAAGAATATAGGGATTTTTTTTTTAAGATAAAAAGGATTACAAAATAATCATAATGAAAATTGAATTTCGTCCTCATATTTCTAATTATCTCAACTCTTCTCTACCCAACTACTAAGTTAACCTTATGGGTCATATAAGAATATAGGTTAATAAAAAAAAAAACATTAAGTGACAAATAATTAATTTTAAAGAAACATTTAATAAAAAAAGGCAAATATAAATCACAGCAGTAGAAAAGAAAATAGCAAAAGTATTTTACATGAATGAAGTTGAAATATTTATAATAAAAAAAATTGTTATAATAAAATGATGGTAATGTAAGGGTTACGTTTGGTTCGAGAAAAGACATTGTTAAGTGCACCAATTTAGCATTATTGTCGATTACATCCACGGGCAGTCTGGCACTGTCATGTGCCGGCGGTGACGGACCTCGGAACTGACGTAGATGCCGATGTCCTGTAATCAAACCTAATTAACCTTTTTCCTTACAACTTACGATTCTCTTTAATCCACTAATTTATTTCAATGCCTCTTCAGAAACCAGTTGGCACAATAAAACACTTCAGTTCCAGTTCCTAACATCAAAACTCTACTTCTGAAATGCTACCAAAATTTTCTGACAGACACTTCTCAACATGTTTTTTCTTTTTAATAAATTTTGACACTTCTTAAATCAAGATTTAAATTTATCAATAATTTTTTCTTTTTCAAAATCTAGTCCTTTTAACTTATAAAACAATTCACGTTTTAAGATTTAATTATTTTTTCCAGATTATATCCTTATTTATATTTTTTTCATCAACTATTCACTTAAATGAGATAATAAGCTTATGATAATGACTAAAATTTGAGATAGAGGAAGTATTTGTTAATATTATTTTTTATATAAAATATTTAAAGTACAACTTATTGTTATCTCATTTAAAACTAAAAAAATATTTTTTAAAATTTCACGGTGTATTTGGAGAGGAGAAATAAACAGGATTTAAGAGGTGAGAGAGAAAAGTGAGAAACTTTAACAAAAAAATATTGGTTAATAAAAAGAATTTGTATAAGATAATGAGATTCAAAGTGAGTTTTACTATAAAAAAATAAAATAAAATAAAAATTACCCTTTAAACAACGAGAATTTGAAGGGAAATAAAACACTTAAAATTTGATGACAAAGTTATCCTCACTCAATGCTATACGTATGACTATTGTGGTAATCTGTTACTTGCATGCTTTCTCACTACCCAGCTACCTCTCAACCCAACCTTTCAGAGCTTAAAGTGAGATCTTGGATAGCTCATCTTCAACTCACCTTCTTTGGCAACTCCAGGTACAAATCTGTATCATATGTTATTTGCAGCCGAGGTGGTGACCATTATCCATTATCATATGTTATTTGTGCACCAAAAGTTATGACCATAATATATTATCAAAGATTCATAATCCATTAGCTAACATATGTTACCTGTGTATTGAGGTGATCCTAATCAACTATGTTCAATTGATAATTCATTATGATTTAAGATAGCCAATTGTATCAATTTATTATAGTTTGAGATAGTCGATTATCCACCAACTTATTAAAACGTAGTGTAATCAATTATGATAACTAATATATACTACTAAATTATATTTAAAAAATCAATTATCATACATAAAAGAGAAAGAAGTAATTCGGTGATTGTTTAAATAATTTATTTTTACATAAAATTTAACTATATAAAATAATATAATTTTAAAATATTAATTTTTTATTTTTATCTAATTTTACATTATCAAACAATTACAAATTTTACATTATTTTTTTTCTTAACTATTTTCCATCGAATCATTGTCATTTGTTATCTTCTTTTATCTCTCCAAAACAAAGCATTACTCGCAACTCATTCTGAGTACAAGTGGAAAGTACGTTTTAATCATACCTTGAGGCCTCGACGATGGGAACAAGGTCACAGGCTAGCAAAGTTCTAACTCATAAACATTTAACAAATAAATTAATCTCATGAAATTTAATTTTTTCAAAATGTTACTAAAAATAATATTTAAGTTTATAGTTTTATTTATCTTATTTTTAATACTTAGATTAAATTTTTATTTATCATTTAATTTAACATTTTCCTTTTATCTTTCAACTAACTTAACAATTATTTTGAGTAAACTAAACTCACGATCTTGATATTTTGTGAGATTGAACACAATTTTTTTTAACGCTTTAAGTAACTTTCTCATAAGTCAAATTGTAATGTTTTATCAAACAAATTTAGAGAATTAATGTAATGTTTAAAGAATGTCAAGGTAAAGTTTTTCAAACGTTAGTACGAAGATAAAAAAATAATAATAATAAAAAAGTGTGCTATTTCAATCGTGATGCTTCTACTAGCCATTCTTATTCCCAAGCTGGGTGTGGTGGAATGTTAAGAAATTATGCTGGGATATCTTGTGCGGGTTTCATTTAAAAACGGTAGGTGACAGCTCCATCACCAATGCAAAGTTATGAGCTATTTTTCATCACCCGGCTTTTCCTTTGCAGATTATGGCACTTGGTGAGCATGTCCACTGTTTTCATATCAGAAGGGAGGCCAATTAGGCTGCAAATTCTTTTATTAAACTTAGTTTTTCTTCTGTACTTCAGTTCCAAATTTTTTAGGTACTGCTGAAGTGTATTAGCTTACAGTTACTGACTGCTAAACCAGCCATTGTTTTCCCCAGGGGATCTTAGCCTGCTTGTTTTCTTTGTCTCGCCAAAAAAACAATATCTTTTGTCGGTAGCTTGTGATAGTCTAAAATAATTTTATTTGTACAAACAACTAACAACACAGCCCATTTAGGAAAAGTAAAATTGGAGGCAGATAAAATTAATTTCGAGGCATTTTTTTTTTAAATTAAAGTCTCACCCAAAATCCTAATACTCAAACATGTAAAAGTTGGAAGAAGCTAATACATTTGTTGCCTCGTTTCTTCGCCACCCTTTTCTTGGCTATTTGTCTTTTGGTCAGGGTGAGGGAAAATAGTTTTTTTCACCCAATCATTATGTCACTTTCTTTGCTAAAGCACCTTTTCACGTCGTTATCACCTGCCTGAATCATATCTCTTTATACATATGTCAGTTAACTTACAATTCATCTTTCACGTCGGTGCTGCTGCTTTGGCTCTCCTTGACATCAGAACTCCCACTACCGGATTTAGAGGTTGAGGTGGGTTTCTGGAGCTTGAATGGGATTGATGCATGTTTCCTGAGGAACTTATAAAAGGCTACCACTGTACGATCCACATCAACAGGAATCTGCATACACAATGAAACAGATACATTTTATATTAGATCATCTAGAGATATAGTGTATGCAGATCCAGCATAGCCGAATAGAAAAACTGCGCGTTGTTTAATAATTACGTACAGGGTCAGAAGTCTTGTTTCCTGCAGGGAAGAAGAGAAGAGTGGGGAATCCATCAGCCTGCAAAATGAAGAACATAACTCGGTCAGTACTATGATGTTATGAAAATTCAAAACAACAACTGTTAGAGCAATTGCCAATTATTGATAATAAATAGCACAAACTTTATTCTATCAACATCTAGTTTAAATTTGGGTTTACCTTGGCCCTGGGATGCTCATTTGTTGTTCCGTCCATCTTGGCTATAACAATAGACTCAATGCTGCTGAGATGTTTAGCAAGCTTGTTGTATGTTGGTTCCAGGGATTGGCAGTGACCACACCAAGGAGCATAAACCTAATATTACAGCAACCATTAATTAGATTGACATGAACAACCTGCACATGCAAATATATATGACTTGGAAACTTATGGGCTAGAATTGTACCTCAAGCAGAACATCCTTTGACTCGTCCAAGACAATTTCATCAAAGCTATTCCCAACAACTATTTTCACATCACCATCATTCTGTCATAAAGTTAGCAAACGTGTCAGACATGAAAACTCTGGCCAAGAGAACATGGATGGGCAACAAAATAGCTTACACTTTCAGGAACTGGATCTGACTTCAGGAAAGGTTTTAGCTTGTCTTCAAGAAAATCTTTACCAAACGCCTTAGAAAAATAAAGAATAGAAACTTTTAGCCACAATCTCTTCCAAGCCTTACTAAAACATAGAAGAAAACATTTATGGATGTTCCATAACATGTCAACAAAAATGAACAGAGTTCGTCACCATGAAGAGAGAAAAGAGTACCGTAATTGTGTCAACAGTAACCTCTCCATCAAGCAAAAATTTTCTTCCATCATCATTTCCTGTGTATGCAAGCACCTATATTGGAAATTCATCAGTTACTTAATTTACTTCCAATATTGAATTTGAATAACGTGAATAATCTCATGACTCGACCACTAAAATGAGATTAAGAGAAGAGGAGGAAACTATTACTTTGGGAGCATTCCCTGCGAGGCCAAAATAATCTGCAACAGGCTTTCCAACATCTTCATTATCCATTTCCACATGAACAAAGATCAGCTGCAACAGATTATTGTACAGTAGAAATACATTATTGTCCAAAAACTAAAATTATTTTGCGGGGGAAGGGCAGGCGGAGAATGAGTTATAATTAAAAGTAAGGACACTAAAATTTATCATTTCTTAATTTTTAAATGATAAATGGGACTATTGTGAGAAAAATGTATGAACAGAAGGAAAAAAAATCAAATTTGAGATATATGAAGATTCAGCACTCAGCATTCGCAATACACAATTTGTCCAGACTATAGAGAAAGAATGCATCAACAGAAGTGTTAAGTAATAGCATGATAAGAAATATACCTTTCCCTTGAAAAGTTTTGCTGTTTCTTTAAATACTGGAAGGAACTTCTCTGTATCATTTGATGTCACAAACAGCAACAACTAAAAGTGAAATTTTTAACACACAAGGTTAGAAATCTGTGACCATTCCATTTTCAAGGAATATTTATTCCTAGATTGACAATAACAAAAAAAAAAACACAGAAATATAAGCAATTACCTGTTTCTTGATTTGACTTTCAAAGATTGATGGGGCGTTTTCTCTCGTAAAAGTTGTAACCAAAGGAAGCTTGTTGGAGGACACAAATTCGGCTATTTCAGCTTTTACAAATTCACCATCTGCAGAGACAGGGAGAAATACATCTAAGTTTCTGACAACAAAAGTAAAAACAGAATGCCTTTTTTTTAAGGAAGGGAGAGAGAAGAACAAGGAACAAACCAAAATGGTTCAATTTCTCCTCCTCTTTCTTGAGCAAGATCAATGCAGGGCGTTTAGCACTCGCATCAATATGAAAAAGCTTTGCCACTTCAGGTACCACAGTTTGATAAAAATTGACATCATCCTCAAGCTTTGATGCTGCAGCCAGCTCGTCACTTTCAGCACCCTGCACATCACATCATGACAGGATAAGCAAATCATCAGGCCTAACAATCAACAATCATCAAGTTGAAATATCAAAACTCAGATCCACCAAGTCTAATCTAGAGAATCAACAACGGCAAATGCCCCTTATATTACAGTGATTAATTAGGAAAGCAAGCAATGCATCACTATATCCAAATTTTACACAAAACTTACCCTAGTAGATCATGATAAACATAAGAGAAAGTAGCCTATACACTGTCATCTAACTACAAGCTATGTATGGTAAGTTTGTTGCCTTTTACAATAACTACATTAAAAAGTCATGCATTTGATTTCTGATTGGTTGACGGTCTTTTGCACTATATTGAACAATAAATCCATATCCATAAAGTAATTAAACAACAACACTTAAATTACCAAATAAATTCAACTATCCAATTGTGTCATAAAACTTACAACTAAAGAGTTTAGGAAGCCCAAAACAACTCTACTTTCAGAGGTCAACACGCTTTCAGCATCATCCAACGTGGTTATGTTGGACACACCAGGTCCTATCTTCTTCCTAATCCATGTCACTATCGCGTCTCTGAATTGCAACGCAAGAAACACATCGATTCAAATTAACAACAACAACAACAATGCGAAACTGATTGAAAGCGAAATTCGAAGATCCAAAACATGCAGCGAGCTTACTTAGTTCTCTGGGCAGTGTAAGGCTTGTGAGCGCCGTCGACGAAGAAGAAGACGGTGGGGAAACCCTGCACGTCGTACTCGTGAGCCAGCTCGTTCTCGACGGTGGCGTCGACCTTGGCGAGAACGACGCCGTCGGGCTTGAGCTCGGTGGCGGCAGCGGCGTACTCCGGCGCGAGGGCCTGGCAGTGGCCACACCAGGGCGCGTAGAACTCGACCATGACGAAGCGGTTGTTCTCGACGACGGTGGTGAAGTTGCGCTCCTTCAAAACGACGACGTCCTTGTCGTCGACCGCGGGGTCGGCGAAGGCTTCGTCGGCGGAGGGGTCGTAGCCGGAGAAGTCCCCGAAGTCGTCGGCGTCGTCGCCGTCGTCGTCGTCAAATTGGTCGGGATCTGGGAAGTGGTGGTGAGAAGTGGCGGTGGCGTCATGGGGCTCCTCGAGGAAGCTGAGATCTTCGTCGTCGTCGTCGTTGTCGTTTTGCGGGGCTTTGTTGCAGAGAGTGAGAGAGAAGGAGGATAGGAGTAAGAGAGTAGCGAGAGAGAGCGAAACGACAAGTCGTGTAAGAGTTGGCATTTTGATCTGTGGATTGGATCGAGATGGAGCAGAAGTTGAGGGAAGTGTGAGTAAACTATTTGGCTATATTATATATGAGTTGTCGCCCTTACACTACACCTTTTCACCAACATCTCCCTTCACTCCTCTTCCACTATATATCATTCAAATCAAAGAGATGCCATCTTCTAAATTATTCTTTAACTTAAGTCTCAAAATGTGTAAGTATTTTCCTCCACCTTCATCAATATTGGAACAACTAAAAGACCACCTTCATTCTTATAGAATTTATAAAATTTATATTTAATATAAAATTATTAAGTAATTTAATAAAAGTTGTTATTATAACTTCTTTATATAATATATAAGAGATTATTTTATTCTAGAATTAAATCTATCTAGACTTACTTTATTTAATAACTCATATTCTATATCAAATTTCAATAATCTAACCGTTCAATTTAAAGTTCTTAATATATAGATTAAATTTATAAATTTTTAAAAAATTTAAAAATCATTTTATACTTTATTTCATTAATTCAAATTGACAGATAATTATATTTGAATTAATAAAATAAAGTATTAAATAATTTTTTAAAAATTTGCAAATTTGATCTACACATTAAAAAAATTAAATTAAATAGTTAAATCGTTAAAATTTGATATAAAACATGAATTATTAAAAAAAATAAATTTAAGTAGACTTACTCTTAGAATAAATCCTCGTATTTTAACGGGGAGTGCCGTTCCTAGAAATAGTTTGATCAAGAAGTTAAAACCATTTTTTTCTTGGTATACATTAGTCATTTAAGGGAGAAAAAAAAAAGGAGAATTAAGAAGACAGTAGTTTTTGGGCCTGCAGTGGTTTTTGTGGTCCAGCAAAGAGGCCCAAAACTGGAGAAGCAAGCGGCAATACGACGTCGTGGAGGAGCGAAGCCTTTTCCGGTTTTCCCGAAGCAAGGTCGTGGATTGGTGGTGATTGGGGAGTCCATAGAGCGCAATTGAAAGAGCAGAGTAGAATTGGGAATTGGATCATCGTTGGTTGTTGCGGCAAGCTAACAAAAGAAAGGATGATTAGCATTCTCACCCAGGTATCAATTCATTCCTCTAACATAATCAATCAAGGGTTTTCAATTCTAGGGTTCTGTTTTCTTTCAATTCAAATGAAACCAAAATTAACGGTGGATTTGGGTGGGTGGGGAATAGGAACGGTTACTGGGAGCTTCACTGGGAGTCGTATTGACGGGAGTGCTTGTGCTTGAGCAACGCAGATACATTTACGCTTCCATTTCCAATACCCAATCCCAGGTACCCTCCTTCTTCATATTATTCCTCTATTTTCAAATTATCTCATTGCCTACATGTAATTCAAATTCCACAGGCTTAAGTTACATTATGTTTAAAAGGGTTTTGCTAACCTGTGCCCTAAAGTGTCCAAGTTAAGGAATCAATGTGTAGAAACTGTGGTGCTAAGCTTTTCCATAAAAAAAATTCTATCTTTGATTTTTAACCAGTACACTTGGGGCACAGGTTAGCATTTGAAATACAGGGTATTCAACATTCAGTGTCACCCTTGACTTAAGACTTTCAACTTTGATTTGGTACTTTTAAATTCTAACCTTTCAGCTTTCATGCTCTACCAGGTTAGGGAACCTATATTTGGGAAGAAATCGCGTTCTGAATTTGCACATGTATGGAACAAAACTGTGGATCAGACATTTGGACCTTTGATAAAGTCCATCAGCTCACGTGGATGGTAGAAATGTTATGAGTCATTTTATTTTTAATACTATCTCTTGTAACTGTGATATCAAAACATACAATACTTGGCCTTATTTTTGTACCTTGACATTCTAAATTGTTTGTTGAATGGTTGTGCACATGGGCAGTGTGTTGCTTTAATATATGAATCAAGATACTGATTTTTCTTCCTTGGAGCACTACTATTTTCTGAATATTAGAATTTACTTGCATTGTTTATCAAGAATTGGCATTCTCTTAGCACGGTGCAGGTTCCTGTTGTCAATAAAAATGTAAAAATGCGCTTAATGATTGGCATTGTCTTGATGTGATTCTATGGCTCTGAAGTTTGGACAATTCTCTTGTTCAAGCTCTAAGATAGAAAAACTAAGTAAATGAATAAAGCCACAATTTATCTGAAGTTTGGACAATTCTCATGTTCAAGCTCTAGGATAGAAAAACTATGTAAACAAATAAAGCCACAGTTTAGAAATATCATGGAAATTGACCACTTCAATGGCTGAATGGATAGTAACATCAATAGATCCTAAAGAAAGAGCCATTTCAATTATGTTTTAATTTTGGTTCAGATACTTTAAAATAGAAATGACTCATTTAGGAAGTCTAATATTGAAATCCGAAGATCTTTTTTTTTTTGTTTCTTTAATAAAAATGTAATTGTAAATTTAACTTTTCTTAATCAATAGAAGAGATATAGTGCGGGAATTTGTGCAGAGGATGTATATTCCAATGAGCCTACTGTATAGTTTACTGTACTAGCTGATATTGCTGTGATGAAAGAGATAAGATAGTCTTAGGTTTAGTATCTTGGATGAGAAGCCTCTCAAAACTGAGAAAGTGTTTGCTGTAATTTAAGTTTATCGTGTGTCTGCTTGCAATGGGTTCAGGATTCATGTTCATAATTTATTGGATGTTGAGAAATGTTGGCCACACTTCTTTATGTAACACTTTTTCATTCAATACATTCTTCTGTTGGGAGGAATTCATGTAAGTTCTAAGCTAAATATGTGAGTTTTATTTCCTATTTGGTGATTCATATGAATTACAACCAATAATGCAGGTGTTAGAAAGAAAATGTCCAATGAGTGTATTGCTAGCACTTTTATTATATGTTTGAATCTTTGATACCATCCAGGTTCTGTGATAGACCTGCTATCTTGTATCTGATGTTGCTTCACATTGAACTTATCTTGCATTTTCAGTAGTTAGTAAGAAATTGGAATATCATGACTATGATAATTGTCTAAACATCCAAATTTGATATTAATCACTATCACAACCATGTTACATTGTCAAACCATAAACAACGGGAAATGGAACTAGTGCTGAGAAATAAGACAGTGAGATACATACACACATATATGGTTAGGGAAAGGATTTTTTTGAGAATTTGGGCAAAGTGGAAGAGTATTTTTGCTTTGTTCTAAGTCGAGGTTTTGATGTGATTAAAGAAGGCACATCAAGCATGAGACTAAACACTGTTATTGGCTCGACTCATGTTGGCTTGGCGAGTGACCTTAACATAGTAGATTCCCATAGCTAAAAGCACAACAAAGGCAACAGCAACAATAATGCCAGCTACACCCCCAGCTCCAATTTGTTTCTCACCTTTCTGCATTTCTGAAGCTTTGTTCTCATATATTTGAGTGTTGTCATCCACTTGAGCTGCTATAGGCAGTGGTGAACATTTGGATGCCGTACATGGGTCTCTAGTCTCAGGCTTTCGAGCATTGGGATGAAAGAAGTCATATGCTGCTGGTGGAAAAGCTAAAGGGCTCTCGTAAACAAGCCCATGAGGGGCCCTTTCTTGACCTCTAGCAATGGAGAAAAGTGCCAAAGAAAGGAGGAAGAGGAAGGACAAGCCAATGGGACTCATGTTGATCTCTTTGGTTTTGTGTAAATCACTATGAAGCAGAAAAGTAGGTAGTTTTTTGATAAAACTTGTAGGAGATTGCACAGGCTTTTATAAATGTGTTGAGGTCCTGAAGAAGTGGTTGTTCCTTGGACTAATGGGAGAGAGGGGACATAATTGTGAATTTTGCTTTCAGCAGACCCCAACCCCAACATTGAAGCTTTTGCAATTCCCAAAATGCCATTTATATGCTAATTATTTACATCAATGGTTGCACAACTACACCCCCTTTAAAGGTTGCATTGATTGAAGCAGCAGTGGCATTACTGTCATAAGAGGTCTTCTCACGACACAAGCTTATTGCTTATTATTTTATTATCTTGAGGTGGTTCTAAGAAAAATGATGCTTGTACTTGAGGAATTATAATGCTGATACCTTTTTTGAGGAGGGAGGGACGGGTAGTTCGTAAAAATTTAAACTTAGTGAAGGCTCGTCGATTTTAACCCACAATAAGACATATTATCAACTAAAGAAAAATTTAAAGATTTATAAGAAAATTATGAGTCACCTATTAATGGAACTTCTAAAATCGATGTCAAGTCCTCATTGAAGTAAAAGTTCCACAAAGACACTTGGAAAAATAATGGTTATACTTGAGTAAGAACTAGAGTACTTATTCTTTCATGGTTGTGCTCGAGTGTCTTAACTCTCATACAATACTGATTAAGCACTAAGCTGGGACTAGTGGATAAAGTTATTGGAACATTAATTGATATCCTTGCACAATTAAAGCACTAATCATCCACCTTAATTTAAAAAATGCATCCTTGAAAAATGTTCTGATGTAGTTAATAAATTCATTTAAAGATTTAGCTGGGATACTAATAAATGAGAATCATCTTGAAAAAAAAAAATCAATTTTTTTAAGTCACAAACTAAGACACTTAAAAAATGCAAGGAGTACTCGTTATGTTACAGTTTACAAACTCACTCTCCCATGGTTTGTCTACACGTGTTACTGTGTCAATAGTCAAATGCTAGTTTTAAAAAATATTATGAATAGCCTATGATGAAGAGGCTTAATGTGCATATTATGTAGTAAATGAAAAGTTTTGAGCTTTGCTTTCTGGCTAAGTGGAACATTATAAGCAAAGCATAATAAGGGTACCTTAGCTTAGAGGGGCAGCAAAGGGCAAAGGGCAAAGGGCATTGCTGGCCTACCCCGTCACATAATTGCGAGTGCACAAAACGCATGCAAGAGCTGAATAGCAATAGCCACACAGTAAATGTGAAAATGATAGTCATGTTAATTCAAAATCATGTCAGTCTTCATGCTTTCTCTCCTTTTCTATCCATCTCATGCCTTCACACGGAAAGTGGATGCTTATTGTGACTCTCTTTAATCCATTCCCCGTGGCAGCGCCAATATTAACTCTACAAATTCTTAATCAAAATATGCTAAATAAAACGTACATAAGTATCAACAATAATAAGTTTAGATCATGGTAAGGTAAATTACATGTAAGGATAAAGTCACCTACTAACCTCTTAGATTTTCAGTGGAATTATAGATCCGATCCCAGATTCTAACTAGTATGAGTAAAAAGACTTAATCAATTATATCACTCTTGTGAAATTTAAAAGAAATTGTTAATAATACTTGAGAAAAATAGGAAAATAATTACACTCTCCTCACTTTAAAATAGCAAAATCCTAAATTAAAACCAATAAATTTATGAAAATGATTTTTTAACCATTGAGGTTAATAATAAGCCTTACAGGGGGAAAAGATGATAAAATAAAGGAAGAACAAAGGAGCAGACTGTATTAGGAGGAATTAAACTCGTACAACCATCTCCAAAAAAAAAAAAAAAATTAAACAGTATATTGCAATTTTACTAAATGAACCAACTCGAAGAAAATAGAACCCCGTGATTCAAGCTATATAAGATTTGCATATGAAATTTATAGTATCTAATAGTTATAGATTGACAAAAACAAATTGTATACTTTTTATTTTTAATTAGCACAAAATAAATAGGAATTTCACCTTAAATTGTAATTATGATATAGTCCTTTTAGAATTAGAGTCACAAATTTAAGATTCCATTCTATAGAATTTTAATGTAACTAAAACTCAATTGTATTTTTGCTCTTTTAGTTTTATTTACGTGTGGTTTTAGTTTTTTTTAGTTAAATAAGTTTTTCAATTTTTAAAATTAAGAAAATCTAGTCCTTTTTATCAATCTTATTCATCTTGAAGCTCTCAAATTCTTATTTTCTATTTGAAGTCGTCACAAATTCAAACAACTAGATTAATTTAAATATTTTCTTATTCCAAGCCCATAAATAAAATATTAGATTTCATTAAAAAAAAAACCAAAATTTTCCTTCTTGGAAATTAATCTCAGATCCTACGTAAATTCAAATATTATTAAATTTTGTTAACGTTTTACTGTTAAACTTTTAAAACTACTATATAGACTGAAAATTCATGTTAATTTTATTATAAACTCTCAAATATTTAGATGAAAAATAATAATTTAAGGATTTTGAGTTGAACGAAATCAACCGGGAAAAATGATTAAGAATTGTAATACAAAGGATAAGGATCGGGAACTTAAAAACTTAAATTGATTTAAGGTTCCTCTAACTTAATTAATCAAGTTTGAGCTTTAGAATTGTGTTAAATATTTAAATAAATAATTTTATCATCTATAATGGTTCTTATCTGATTCAAGTAAGATTGTGTCGTTCATGAAAGATATTTGTGATCTTTATAAAAATAAAATCAATAAAAGAACCAAATTTACTTAATTAATTTTTAAAATATAATTATGAAATTTATTCAAACACAACTTAAAGATCATAATCAATTCTTATATATAAAATAGGAATAGGAACAGTTATCTTATGATAATATTGTTAGAAACTTTTCTTTGATAAGAAGAATTTTAGAAATTCTTTTAATTTCATATTTAATTTGATTTTTACTTATTAAGATAAAATAAATTAAATTTTAATATATTTAAAATAAATTATTAATAAATAAAAATAATTTTATACTACAATATAAATTATTTATCATAAATTTAAGATATAATTTATATTTTAATAGAGAACAACATATATCCAAATTTTGTTTGCCTAATGTCCACTCAAAAACATGGTTAATTATATATATTTATTTATTTAGGTTAAAATATATTTTTAGTTCGTATACTTTCATTTATTTTATCTTTTCCTATAGTTTAAAATAAATTTTTTTAGTCTCTATACTTATCTTTTTCAATTCTCTTTAATTCTTATATAATTTAAGATTAAAAAAATAATTTGTCTTTATACTTGCAGTTTTGTAATAATTTGAGTTCCTATTGTTATTTTTTTTTAACATTCTATTTTATATTAACATGGTAGAAGTCTTCAATTTTGTGAAACTAAAAAAATGGTGTCTCAATAATAAACATTATAGATGAAGGTATAAAAAATGTAAGAAACATTGATTAATTTAGAGTAACTACAGCAAAATAAATTTAATATCAAACATATGAAATTGGATGGATATTTCTGTCACATTAACATAAAGGAGACAATATTACAAAAATATTAATGACAAGAACTAAAAGAATGAAAACTCTACAAATATAAAGACTACAAAGATTTATCTTAAACTATAATGACTAAGAAGAATTTAAAAAGATAACTATAAAGACAAAAAAAATTATTTTAAACTATAAAAACTAAAAAGTAAAGGAAGTGAAGCTATAACAAAATAAAAAAAGGTTTTAATCTTTATTTTATAAGTAGTTAAAAAAATTGCATGATTGTATATGATTATTGATATTAAATTAATATTAACTATTTATGAGACAAAATTATACTATTAACCACTTGAAAGATAATGTTAATCATTATTAAACATTTCAATAACTACATAATATTAACTACATGTTGATAATTATATTCAATTACCTTCTTTTATTCTGATTACTTATAAGGCAAAAGCAACTATATTTACACATGTAAACGTGATGATACCACATGACATTATTAACCATTTGCAAGAGCCAAGAGACAAAGTTAACTATTAAGACATTTAATAACCTCGTGAAACTATTAATCATGTTTTTATAATGATATACACTTTTATTCATTTATTTTAATCACTTGTAAGACAAAATTAGTTAACCACTTATGTTGGATGAATTTGAGGTGTAATATTAACAATACTCTTGTCTAGTTATTCTTATCATTTTTTTTTTCATTGATATATTATAATGACCATCACCACCATCAATTATTAATACTGTCACCATGACTATTGACTTTCGTTGTGTTTTCTTTTCCACCAATTATAGAGACAAATACCGAATGTAATAAAGAATTTTGGGCAGAACAGTTGATCGATTGGGCTTCTTTTTTGTGACCAGTTTGGTACAAAACAATGTTTCCATTTAACATTTAGGCTCAAAGCTTGAACCCACTAGAGGGCCCAGTAGCTCATAGGTTTCCATCACATGAATTGATATCAATATAGACATCAAAAAGTTATAGATATAATCAACAAAAAAAAAATTACAGCTGTAGAGTTGTATATAAATTTGTGCAAAAAAATAATAATAAATAATACGTCAGAATCTTACTTTTTCTAAGATACTTAACTTAAGCTCCATTGCATGATTATGATTGTTTCTCTAAAAAAATCTCAAATGTTCCGTCACCTTCTATGGATATGCGCTTGAGAATAGAATATGCGGAGAAACCCCAACTTTTTTCTTTTCTTTTCTTTTTCAACTTTCATTTTCTTTCTAAAATAGACTTCTTTATTTCTTTTGATTGTTTTTAGTGACTTTATCGGATAAAAGATAAGGAGCTAGACAATGAATCCAAACCTCGTTTTCTCTAGTTTTCTTCAAATTCATAATTGTATTATAGTGGCTAAGCCAACAAACACATCTTATCAATTTTTCTTTTGGGGTTTCTATGTTGGGTGGTTTGATTTTACCTGAAAATTTTTAGTGAAAAGAAGAAGCTAGCTACTTTTAAACCTCCATTTGTGCTATGATTACTAATCTATATGGATTTGAATATTATGACTTCATGGATGGTTGAAGATGACGAGTTTCGCAAGTGCTCTTAAATGGGTTTAGCAATACTATCATAAATAGTAATGCCTATATCAACACAAATTGTACCCATAAATAATCATGTTATCAAACAAATAACACACGTACACCTAATCGGGTTCATAAATAAGTTAATGGTCACAAATTAAGTGATGGATGAAGACATAAAATATGGCGAAGATAACGTATATTACATGAAATAAGGGGCACGAAGGTAAGGAATCCGAAGCCATCCACCTAACATGTTTACTTTTGTGTTCTTTATTTCTTTTCCATTATTTTTATTTTTCTCAACACTTATATGATAGTGTCCCCAGCAACAGCGATGAGTTTCACAAACAATTCAAAGTTTCATGTCACGTCGATAACCACCACCACAAAAGCCAAGTTAGATTATCTAATAAAGAGCCTAACTTTTGAGTGGAATAGTAATTTAATTATGGTGCTAATTAAGCTCTTCCACTAGTACACATTTGCAATAGTTTAATATTACATTAGGATAAGCATCCCAACCGAAATATATAATTATGGGGCTTCACGGACAAATTTGAAGGTTCAAGAAGCTTAGGTTACGCAAATCGGTGAATGATCTTGTAAAGCTTAATTAATAATTACATAGTTAAATTTGGCCTAATTCCAAAGGACACTTGTCCACATTGCCAAGCCTAAGATTAATGGTGGTGACACAGTTAAGTTTAAGATCTATATAAATAACTGGAGAAGCTTCTAATTTTCTATTCTTCTATATCCTATTCGAATGTTTTCACTTATTACTCACTTTATCTCTATATTAACCTTAACCATGAATACGAAAAACCAGCAACTTAATACATGTAGATAATATTACTCAAGTTAAGGTACATTACATATATAGATGATAATTAAGAAACAAGAAAAGTAAAATGATAAATTAATGATTGAGGATGCACAAGACAGGAAGGGAACACTTTAGGAATACATACAAGGAAATTAAAATAAAATATATAAAAAAAGGGATAGAAAATAGACCCTTGGACACAAGCATGGTTATCTACAATTTGATGCCCCCCATGGTTTTGGCCTTATCCTCCAACAACTGTAGCTGATGAAAGAAAAAGACGAAAAACCTTAAATTAGGGAACCCCAGAGACACACTAGCACTCCCTCAACATAGAAATTCTTATTATTATCAATTCTTCGGAAAAACACCATGTTGGCTAGCAAATTAAGAAGCTAATTAAGCGTTGCTCCTGAATGATCCAAGAGCCTTGATAGCTGCTGCTCTAAGGATGTATTGGTGGTAGAATGCAGCCACTGCTGCTCCAACAATGGGTCCAACCCAGAAAATCCACTGATCATCAAAAAACAATTCACCAAAATTAATTACACCATGCACCATCGATCAACATATAAAAAGAATGTTAATAAGTATATGTTTTTCTTTCAAGTACTCTCTTAATAAAAATAAGTAATCTTTTTTTCAATAAAGAATATGAATATAGATATATATGTTTACCTGGTCATCCCAGATTTTGTCTTCGTTGTAGATTACAGCTGCTCCAAAACTCCTTGCTGGGTTAATGCCAGTACCAGTAATTGGGATTGTAGCTAAGTGAACCATGAACACAGCAAATCCAATGGGTAGTGGTGCTAGCACCTTCACGTTGATTAATCACAAAAGTCAAACAGTGAATTACTAATCAAATTTATGTCACTAATTCTGGAGTTACAAAAGTTTTGTAACAATTTCTTTTTTTATATAACCATGTTGATGCAGATTATCTTAAAGTTTTATTGATGATTAATTTCTCAATCAGATAGTCAATTTTAGTAAGATTTTTTTGACTTTAGTCAAAAAGATGAATTTAATTTGATTTAGATCAACAATTTGTTGGTAGTAATATTTTTTATTTTAATTTTTTGTGAGTATGAAGTAAGGAAAGTTGATAATGTAAGGGTGTACTTACGGGAACATGGGAGTCCCTAGCGTTCCTCTTGGGGTCAGTGGCAGAGAAGACAGTGTAAACAAGAACGAAGGTACCAATAATCTCAGCACCCAAAGCAGTGCCCTTGTTGTAGCCATCTGCAACAGAGTTGGCACCACCTCCATATCTGTCGTAGTATGCTGTTTGGAAGCCCTTGGCAAGTCCAGCGCCACAGATAGCACCGGCACACTGTGCTACCATGTACAACAACGCCCTTATCAGCGACACCTTCCGTCCTAGGAACAGCCCGAATGTCACCGCCGGGTTTATGTGTCCTCCTACAACCACCAACTCCACAATAATTGTAATTTCTTCTTGCATGCACACACACACACATTCCATATCCAACTTTCTACTAATTATTCAACTTTTTTCCTTCTAACTGTCTAGTAAGGTCTATTTAAAAGGTGACAACATGAATATATTTACCATAACATGTTTAAAAGGTAAGATGATCTGATAATCATGTCACACATAGTATAATATGTATTTTATTTCTTCTTTGTCTCTACTACTTGTATTAAGAGTATGTGTTGCTTTGTAGCTATATGTGATGTGTAGAGTGTGTTAAATTGTGAGAGATGAAAGGGGAGTGATGTATACCAGAAATACCGGCGGTGCAGTAAACAAGGATGAAGATCATGCCACCAAAGGACCAAGCAATGCCCAAAATGCCAACCCCATCACACTCGGTGCCCTTTTTGCTAGGATCAGTTTGGCTTTTGTAGCCAATAATGGTGAGAACAGTGATATAAAGGAAGAGAAGGGTTGCTATGAACTCAGCAATGAGGGCTCGCCAGAAGGACCACTTTGTGAGCTCCTCAGGGTCGATCAAGGGTGCCGGAGGAGGGTCTTGATAGTCTTTGGAGGAGTATTCTCCTTGCTCTTGAACCTCAACATCTTTAGCCATATTTTCTCTCACAGGCTCAACACTATTGCTAGTTGTGTGCTGTTGGAGTGGATTGAGGGGGTGAGTGGAGAGAGGTGGTATTTAAGTAATGAAAGAAAGAGAGAGACTATGAGAATGAATCGAATAATTAAACTCTCTGCTTTTGTTTTTGTGTATGGACAATGACATGATTAACATAATTTTTTGCCGCCCCTCTTAGCTTGATTTCGCTTGCATGGCCCCACGCCTGGGCTACCATTCCAGGGGCACTCCTTCATATACATATAATATGTATAATTACACCAACAAGCTTTATATCACACTTAAATCACTCACTAATCATCCTATTGTGCTACATCATATTTAAGGCTCAAAGTAGCAACAGATTTAACTGCATATAAAATGACTATTTTCTTCTTAAGATAATTCATTTTATATTTAAGATTATAATTTAAATTCTGAATAACTTAATTACATAATATAAGTCTATAATTTGTGTCAATCAGCATTAAGAGATAATTGAGTTTTTTTAAGTATGTGTTGAAAGAGTGACAATTTATTTGAGTGATTTATGCGATCTCTCCCACTGCTAGTTAAAGGAAATGTTTGGGACAAATATAAAAAACCTAGTTGTATACAATAAACACACAGACGGCTATGGCCCAGTGTGAGCTAGAAAGCTTTATTGAATACAAGGGGTTATGGGGAAGTCCCAAATTGCATTGTCATGTAGATTGTAGATATAGGAATTATTAGGATGACAAAATTAAGTAGGAACTCAAAGGATAGGCTATTGCTCCGGTGCCCTCTTATTTGAAGGGGTTTTGGTGCCCCTTAGTACAAAAGTTGGGATTTTAGGGGTAATAAGGGAAATTTATAAATTGACCAAAAGCTATCAATTTACCTTATTGCCCCTAAAAACCCAACTTTTGTACTAAGGGGCACCAAAACCCCTTCAAATAAGAGGACACCGGAGCAATCCCCCAAATTGGGTCTACTGTTTTTGCTGCCCTGTCTGTCACAACTCACAAGTTTAGGGGAGGGATAATTAATGGCTATGGTCCCCTATGTTTTACCAATGGGTCCTCCTTACTCTTTCCACGCATTTAACTTTATCTTCTTTATTTTCGTTGCACATGGGAGAAAAACAATATTCAATTTTTCATTCTTATTAATTTCGACCCCTCAAGGCATAAATTCTTATTTACATATAGTAAATTAATGTATTTAAATCTATAAGGATTATATGAATCTACTTTAATTTTATTATAAAAAAATCAACTAGAAAATTAAAACGATAACATTTTATCATGTACTAATAGATGTCACAACATAGAAATTACAGAACAAAATTTGTGATAATTTAGTTAAAGCACTTGCAAACTTATTAACATTGATATATATGTGTGTGTATACTATATTCCACCATTTAATTTTGTGCGAGAGAGAAAAGGAGCACTAATTTATCACGTTAAAAGATTTTTTTGTTTTTGTCCTTTAAAATTTGGAATTGTCTAGAAGTTCCGTTTGAATAACCAGAAGTTTTGTTTTAAAAATATTGACTATACATCCGTTGAACTTGGTTTTGAACTAAAGCATGAAGTTAGTGGCCAAGAAACATTAGCATAACAAATAGTAAGAGATTAAGATATATTATCCTGAAAAATAAAAAAGAAAGTTAAGAATAATTATTTTTCAGTACTGCAATTATTATGAATTTTATAAGAATTAGAGTAGAATAGTTGTTGTCTTGTTGGATGACGAAGACTTGCCAGAAGAACTTATCTGGAAGCACCTAAAATCAAATGGATTTTGAACACAGTGAGGGTCCTAGTGTTCCTCGATGGCCACAAGTTTGAGGTTACTTATTCTAATTATAAAATTTAATAATTAATTGGGCAGTTAATTAAATCTTATGTCATAACTATTTCAACCGGATTAGGAAATCTTATTGCAAGTTTCTTGCTAATATTAGAATATGTTTTTTACACTATTTGCTCTTCGACCCACACCTACCACCAAATATAAACACAAACGTTACTTCAATTATTTAAACCAAAATAAAATACTGTGCAAATTATTTGTCTTAATTCATAAACCGTTGTAAGAAAACTCCCAAAAAACTAAAGGTCTTCCCTTATTTTACTTTCCTCTTTTTACTTTTTTATAACAATTCAAATTTCCATCATGTTGTCTTCTAGCTTTAGCTTTATTAGTTCAAGTATTAAATGGAGTGAGGAGCTAGAAAAGGTTTTAATTTAATTTTCAGTATATCCAACAAACAGTTTTATTTTCATATTATACAAATATAAATTTATTCTATAAAATATATTTACTCAATCGAAATTGTTGGTGCAAATAATTTGACATTTGTACTTTTTAATTAAAAATTAAGTTTAATTATATTTTGGACGTAAAGCAATGAAATGAATTTGATCTTATTGAGATAATTATACTATATACTAAAAATATATACACATTTACTATAAAAATAAAAGAAAAGAAAAGAAAAATAATACCGATGATTTTTTTTATCACATCATATTACTTATTAAAACATTCATCATATATTTACATCATTTACTTACTATCTCTTTCCTTTTTTATCATATCGACTAGCATTTCTATTATTATTTCCTTTCTACTTTTTCCTTCTCTATCTAGCTCTTAAATATTTCTACTTCAATCCACTCTAAAATGGAGTGAATAAATATCACTACTATACTATTTATTTTATGAATACTTTTCTCTATTTTTCTTTCTTCAAGCGTAGAATTGCATTAGGTGTTCATAGACCATATTTTGCATTTTAAAAGAGTAAACAAAAACATAACAAATTTGTTAATTGTTGTTTTAAAAAAGCAACGGTTAAAAATATCAATAAATAAAACAAATTTATTAAAATTTATGGTAAAAAAATATTTAACAATATTAAATGTTACAATTTTAATTTAAAAAAAAATAACTTTTAACCATTGTCCTTAGCATAGCAAATCTGTTATAACTGTGGGGGGGAAAGATATCCAAGGCATTCTGAGAGGAACCAAGAAATCACTGAACATTTTCATATGTATGGACAAAATATAAACAAATGAATTTATTAGGTGAAGTGCGAACGTTTAAGCCCTAATAAATTATAATAATGAATAATATTTGAAGCCAACATGGATCATGATTAATTATAGTATATAGAAATGGATGCCAGACTAATTGCATGGGACCAAAATGGTTGGTCCTCTTTACAGAGTAGCTGTGATTAGAAATACCTAGTGGACTTAATTTTCCAACCACCCTCGTATCATCAGCATGGACAAACAAATGTTTTTTTTTTTTTTTAATTTTTCAAATATACATGATCAGAGACAGTGACTAATTTTTATTAAAGATAATAAATATGTATTTTTCTTCTAACATATAAGATAAATATACATAATTTACTTGATACTCACAGGTAGAATAATAACTTAATTAAAAGATAAAAGAGGGTATATAAGAGCAAATATTAACATTAGGGTTTGTGTATCTGTGATGATGAGAATTGATGGTGATGAAGGTGAGAATTGACATGTAATGCCGCCCATCCTCTGATTGAGTGCAAGTTCAGTTTAATCCTATTATTTTACTCGTGCATCTTGTGCATAATTATTCGATGATGAATTAACGAGTGAATTTGTGAATGTTGTATGATATTGAATATTGATATAAAATATGATGTTGTGGCTGAGAGAGCACCATGTGTTGAACACTTTGTGATGGATATAAAAAAATCATTTTGTTTATTTGGTTTTATGTGTAACTTTAGATTTTGAGAATGACTATTTTCACTGGACGGTGGCTGCACTACAAGTTTTAAAATTTGAAAGTGCAATTGCATGAGCTAAGCTTTACACTTTAGCAGCACTACGTGTCTTCACTTGTGCATCTCATACAACCGTTTGTTTCTGTTTCTTAAAATAAAAAAGAGTTTTAATTAATTAAAAATTCTATAAAAACAAATAAGTTAGGAATAATATGATGATAGATCAGACAATTGAAACAAATATTTTTTAGTTGGCTGTGAAGAATGCATATGAAATGCACATTCCAATGAGAATGAATGTTCAGAACTTTTGATTGAGATAATGGGGAAAGTAGGAACTTCAAACTTTTAAGTTAAATATTTTAATTTATAGTATGAGTGAGTTTTACAATATATTAGAGAAATTTGTAAACTAGTTTTACTAACTTGGGTGTTTGTTTGATCAAAATAAATAAATAGGTTTATTTAAGACTTTTAGAAACTTATAAGTTAAAGTAATTAATAAAAAAATGAAAAATTATAGAGGAAAAATAAAATAAAATAAAAATTAAGAGATTAAAATTAAAATTTACTCGTCAACTCCAATAAGTAAAACACGAATGATTGATTATCTTGCATGAATGTACTTTTAAAGATTTTTCTTCAATAAGAAAATTCTTTAAAAAAAATTTAGTTTTATATCTAATATGCTTTTTATTTATCATAATTATTTATAAATTAAATTTTAATATTTTAAAATAAATTATTAATAAATAAAAATGTTATGCTACAATATAAAATATTACATAAGTCTAAAATATAATTTATATATTTAAATATGTATTTAATATATAATTTATATATTTAAATATAATAATTATTTATAAATATAAGGCTAAAATCTATTTTGGTCCCTTATAATAATTGTTTGTTTCAATTTAGTCCCACTTTTATTTTTGGTTTCAATTTGGTCCCAAATAAATTAATTGGTTTCAATTTGGTTCCAAATAAATTAATTGGTTTCAATTTAGGACTTCCGTCCAAATTATTTAAACGGAGTTAACTATTGGCCACGTGGATGTCACGTAGATGCATAGGTGGATGCCACGTGGATGTCACGTGGATGACAATTTTTTTTTAAAATACCTGGACCCAGAACGGCCCGTTCTGAAACCAGAACGGGTCGTTCTGGTTGCACTTTTGGTATGTTAAATTTGCATCCGGAACGGCCCGTTCCAGATGCAAATATAACACACTAAAAGTGCAACCAGAATGGAACGTTCTGGTTTCAGAACGGGCCGTTCTGGTTCCACACTACTAAACATAAACGATCAATGATTATAGTTTACGGTTGTGAATCATGGAAGGAAAAAGACCCAAGGTACAAAGTATTTCAAACATTGAATTTGGTAATATTGTCAATGGAAATTAATAACTTCAATTGCTAAACAGTTAGGCTATACAGTGTATTATTAAGGACAATGCAATGTATCACTAAAGACAATGGTAGCAGATTTTATTTCATTTCAAACTGGAGTGAACCACTTACTACCAAATTGACACTATACAGTAAAATATGAAATGACATGGTATTTTTCCTTAAAGTTATTAACGATGTACCCCAACAACAACAATTTGTTCTTGAAGAGGTAAAACCTGAAGTAAAGGAAGAAGATACACAGGACTAACATTTCACCACACAACTATATGCAGGGATAGATCTAAGTTAATTATAGTGGGGACACTTGCCCCACTAAAAAATTTTTCATTCTTTTTTTATATATAAAATATTAATAATTTTATAAAATATATATTATTAATTATATTTTAATTATGTTGTTATATCTAATATAATAAATACATTAATATTTTTTTATATTTTATTTTATTATGTTTATCCAATTAATTTTTATCATTTTATTTCTCTAATTTTAAATAAGTTGCAAAAAATTATAAAGTAACACTTAAATATTTATTCAGACCGAAAGAGAAAAAGAAAAAGTTATTACTCTATTTATAAGATAATTGTATTTTATAAAAATAAGTAATTTTAAAATTTTTACCATAAAAAAATATTTTTTAAAATTATTATATTTTTTAATAA